AAGACACGACACTGAATAAGAGGACGAAGCGAGGGATGAACAAAGCGGGAGTACAGGCCCCGGAGGGACGCGCTTCGGAGTTTGATTCGACGTGCTATTATTCATCCCTCCCCCTCCCGCGCGTGTTTGCTTTTTATCATTACATTGTCAACTGGTGTAGGTATGTATATGCGCGCCTCTGCTACGAGGGAATTTGATGAGCGTCACGAGCGAGTCGTGTAATCTGTCGTTTTATCAGTACCTACCGTGCGACAAACCGACCGTGAACTATATTGGGGCTGTTTTGAAAACTATGTACCTATATAACCACGTCACATTCGATATTCATCGAAAAGGACTCGTACATCGCTGTTTTGGGCCATGTTGGTATAGACGCGGGAGAGCATCATTACCAAAGTATAATATAATATACAAATATAAAAAAGATTGACAGCGCACCTTACGCTGCACCACGTACCACCTCCCGCGCCTCTCGACGATTCTCGAGTGCGCGTGTTTGCGCTCTTGGTTGTTTCTTGGCGCGCTTGTCACATGGCGCTCGTCACGTGCACCATACACGAAGCGATAGACACCCGCTCTCTCTCTCTCACTTTACAATTCGCGCGCGATGAAGGGTTTAGGGGTTGGGGGGGGGGGTGGAAGTGCAAACAGAATTAAAGGACTGAAACTCGAATGGGAATATCAGCCGCGTGTGCATTGTTCCTTTGGCCGAAGGATTGAATGGCCGAGCGATTGGGGGGTGAGCGCGTGCAGCTGGTGATGGGGCTGAGAGGCCCGGTATAAGGAGCATCCGATACGAGTGCTTTCATGATCTTTGCCCTACGTCTCTATACACGCCCGACTCTGACACCACTACTGTCGACGCTCCCTTGGTTTTCATCAAAGAGTAGCTAAAATTCATTGGTCGCTATCCTCGTTACACCCAAAAATGAATTTTTGTTTTGTTTTTACTTTCGGATAAAATCATACCCATCACCCATCGAAGAGTCCCAACAGTCCACCGCAACAGAGCGGAATGACACTCTAATAAGGTATAATGTGTTACGCGTACGTATAAGCGTCCCGTACATTTCAACCCCTGCTCCTCGTATGCAAATCAAATCTTGAGCCCCGAGCGCTAAATACCCACTCGATCCACGCGTACTTGGGTACACCTACTCCTTCATGTACCTAAACATATATATACACCGAAGCAAACCTGCCAGGCGCTCGCCACATGAACATTCCGTCATCTTTCCGTGTGTGTATATATACTCCCTCCTCGCACGCGCGTATACGAAAAGGACGAGGAGCCGAGAGTCGGAGGAAGATCCTCCGCGACGCTTTCCCGTGTGTATATATACACATCACCTATACCCGGAGCTCAAAGGGAGCATCGGCAGCCCTCCCCTTCTCCTCCCTGTGGGTCTAGCGGCGTGTCCCCACTCTGCGAGCGCGCGCCGGAGAGCTGCGATTGGGTGGGCGAGGGTGGCTCCGGGCGTGAGCTCATTGGTCGGTGGCTTCCATGCCTACGCGAGGCGTTTCGACACTGCCAGTGCGGCGCACAGTGGGGGAGAGGAAGACTCCAGCGAGTGTGTGTATATACACAATGTGTGCGCGGAGGTGCCTTTTTTGGTCTATACCCGCGAGCCCGAGAGATGGGCATGTCCTTTTTGCCCCGGCGCCCGCTCGAGTATCTTTGTCTGCAGCTGCTATGTACAGTGGTGGTGCTTTTTTTTTTTTTTGTCTTCCTTTCGTTGGTTACTTACCGCCTCTGCCCGCTTTTTTGGAAATGGCCTTTTCCGATACTCGAGTTTTCCCGGCGCGCGCGATCTTTTTCCTTTGTTTGCAATGGTATAGCCACGTATACCTAATTCCAAGTTGTTTCCGAGAAACGAGTACATCTGCAGTTGAGATCTCGTTTTTTCTCTTGTTCACTGCACCCATAGCGAGACTCGTTTTTTTTTTTTTACTCCAGTTTTCTAGGCACTTTGTTTCGCCTTGTATTCACGAAAATGAAGGTACATCCCGTTAGACCTGAGTCAAATGGCTATAATATATATTTATACATTAATAACTCGGAGGATGGCCGCATCGACGTATAATCTTGATATCTCATTATGTTGGCTGAATGCACTTGGCTGGTGGGCGAGAGGGGCTCGCACGCGCGTGTGTATATAATTCGCAAACAATAGGGTGCGCGAACGCCAAAGCAAACGCACCACTAGCGCGCACACTTTGTGCTCTTTGAGAGGGAACTCGACTGTGTGTACCTATGTATGTTGCAAGCGGCAGGTAGATGAGGACCCATGTGTGTGTACACGTTATCTACACAGCAAATATACATGTATATAAGGACTATTAGGTGATGGGTATAATAACATATACATATTAGTTATGCCCTTTCGCGTGTTGTCCTCGTAGCAGATACTGTCTAATTGTCCATTACTTTATGCTTTTCTAACATACAAAGCTCATGGTTCTTTTCTGAGGGATATATTGAACATTTTGTTCTACTTGTTGACTGATTACCGATCGGTTTGTGTATGCTGTGGGTGGAGTTCTTATTTGCCTTAATATTTGGAAAACCATAACGCAGAGGGAACTAAATGTCATATCACTGAGCAACCCAATTCTTAAAATCAAAGAAAATTTCTTTACCCTCATTCCGTTAAATATTTTCTTATGAGTAGAAAAATATAAGTTAATTAAAAACAATATTTTATTAAATTGAAATTTTCTTTTTTTTTAATTACGAATTTCTCATTTAGTTGTACCAAATGTTTTTTTGGATCGACTAAATTTGTTTCAATTAAAAGAAAATGTTTAACAGAATGAGGATAAAGAAATTTTCTTTGATTCTAAGAATTAGGTTGCTCAGTGATAGAAACAGTTTTTGCTGTGTCCCACTCTATAAGCTTGAAACTCCGTATACCTTTAATTTGTTGCAAAAAAAAAAAAGAAAAAATAAAAAAATAAAGATGCACGCGATGAAACAAAAGAAAATGTATAGTGTTAAAAAAAAAGAAAAGCAAAACTATTGGCATCCCTTGCACGAGCGACAAGACTTTCGGTGCAACCGACAAATGCACGTGTGAGAGGAGCCTCGAGGCACAGCGCAATCATATACAATATAACATAACACCAGAAGCAACCACCTATACAATGCGCACATGAGGGGTATACAAGGGCACGCGCGACTATGCACTTGGGCTGCTCGAAAATTCGCACGCCTATCGTGGATGACTATGACGCGCTGGAACAACCGAGCGAGTAGTCGGCCGGAGGGAATCAACCTGCGAGATGGGGCATGCCTACAGTGCGCGCGAAAGGATTGTTCACCCACGGGCTCAGACGAAGTCAAGTGAGCGATCCCTCTATGCTTCCTTCAGCTGTACATGGATTAACAAAGTAACGGAAGAAGAGGAAGAGGACAATCGATCAAGCACGTCAAAGTAACAGTTGCTCCGGGAGCGAAAGAAGGGGACAATTGATTGAAGAGGGACCCGGTCCCCTCTGCAATTCTCGTGTATTTTTTTTTTTTGTTTTTTAAACGAAACATATATACCAAATGTAACCAAGTATAAAATACGTGCGTATCGAGTTGTTGTTCTCCACTTGTTTAGCCCCACCTTGACCATCATGATCTTATCGGATTGTAATAAAGAGGACATTACTTTGTAATTAAAGAACACATGTAAATAGCCGTTCGTCGAAGCGAGCATCGGCCGAGCATACCGGAGAAATCAATTAACGAGGTGAGAACGGAGTGTTTCCGATACTTATCACCGGCGCAAACGAAATGCCGAATCGCGAGCTGCTGAGGAAAGAGAGGGGAGGAAAGGAGGCTCACTGGAGTAAGTATACATATATGTATGAATTATAAGGACCAATTTGCCGGAAATCCGCGCGTCAAATACACGTATATACGTAGAACCAGTAAACTTCAGACGGCTGTAAAGCGCGACAGACCGTATATATTATCCGCAGAGAGTGAGAACTCCAACCGCGACCCCATATATATATATATATATATATATAGATGTGCATTGTATATTTGTGCGCCTCCCTCTATACCCTCCGAGGGAGCATCACATCAGCGAGTCCCTGCAACATCGGATCATATTTATATATATATATATGATGTATATAGGACGCGCGGAACTCCGCCCTCCGGCTGCGCTCCCCTTTTTTGCCCTTCTCCGTGTTCTCTCTCTCTCTTTCTCTGGCAGCACATGTATATATGGAGTCGACGGCGCGTGGAAACACGCCCACGGCAACAGAGCCGGCGTCGTCTGCTCGACATTGGCTTCGTCTGCCACTGGTGTAGGTATATACGTGTGCATCCGCTGCTGCTCAGTAAAGCAGGGAAGAGGCGCGCTCTGGCCGGAAAGAGGCACAGTTCGAAGCCGGCGCGCGCGCCTTCAGCCAGCCCGGCTGCTCTAGCTGACGGCCGCACTCTCGGGGGTTGATCCGTGGGCATGCACTATATATACGGTATATTACGTACGGCGTGCGCGTGTGATTTTACCACGTAGAGGGGGGGGGCGGAGGGGGCAACGAGGGTGTCTTTTTTGGTTGGCAGAGCCGCGGGCGACGGACACGAGCGCCAGCCGTCGAGCCGATCGGAGAGATCGTCTTGTACTTGCGTCCCTGTTTGTTGTTGTTGCTGTTGTTATTTTGGGTGAACATTTTGTTTTTCCTGCAGATCGAGAGTACTGGTTGGGAACTGAGTGGAATTGGTTTTTTGTTTTTTGTGCCAAGAAACAGTTGGATAAAGGGACATTTGGGTTGGGGACATGGAGGAGAGAACCGGGAGGTGAGAGAACGGGCCGACGACGCAAGGGCAGGTGGCTTCGGCGTCCGACGGGTCCTCGGGGCTGCTGAGATCATGCGTCGACGCGAGTTTGACGCACCTTGGATTCCCAGTTGTTTGAAGATTTTTGGATTTCCGTCATCTGCATCGGCCGTCGCTCTGTCGTCGAGACCTCTGCGCTGACCGGCTCTGGGGATCGACGGATCTTTCGATTTTCAATCACATGTAAGTTTTTTATTTTTTAAGTGCACGACAATATGACAACTTTCACGACGATTATAAATGGCCCGTCCCACTGCAATGTCTCTGTTGAAGATTAGCAAGTGGTTAAGTAAAAAAAAAAGTAAAAAAAAAAAATAATAAAAAGTTGCATTCAAACCGATCGTCAAAGTAGATACCAGCAAAGGAGAAAAAGTTTCCCTCATTTTTTTATCCACCCCCGCACAACGCGATTACCACAGCTGCCGCGAAAAGTGGCCTTTGCGTGATTAGCCGGATTTCGAAAGCGAAATAGGATCAAGGCTGCCGGCACGATAAGAGGATTTACATCCGTGTTTCCAGCGAGCTTGTGCCTCGTTAGCTCGTGGGCGGTGGGCATGGGATTTTTTTTCGCTGCTCTAGCACAAAATTTTTTTTTTTCCCCTCTTTTACGCGTATGGATACTAAGAAAAAAAAATTTGGTGTCTTTCAATCGGTATTCGTCATGCGTCTGTCATTTGGCTCTACTTGTCACTTTAACACGTAATATACTTATGATGATGTAAAGAACTTTTGTCGGTTTAAGGACGTTTGGTAGAGATAGAACCCTGTGATGAATCTTTTTGAAATTTTAACCAGACGTTCTTATTGTTGTTACAATAAAGCTGTTAAAATTTCAAGAGGTTCGTCTGTTTCGTTTCCGAGATATTGAATTTCAAAGTTCAGTCAGTTTAACACGGTCGCTTATGGGGAAACTTATAAAAACTCGGTTTAAAAAAAATTGGCGTTATGAATGTCTCCAAATTTTTTTATATGTCACAGATAATGTTATTAACTATATGTATAAAAAGTTTCATGACGATCGTTCGATTAGTTAATGAATAAAAAAATTAAATAATAGTTCGACAAAAACGTAACGGCAACGTCGCAAGCGGGAAATTCAAAATGTTCCAAAATTTCAGTAAATATTTAAATATTATGGTAGATATTTATGTATTTCTGTATAAAACATAAGCTTGTATATGTGTGTGAATGTATGTACATAGGTTCCACCCATACCCATAACAAAACAATGTATTATAAAAACACATATTTATTTTTCTTGATAAAATTTTTAATTTGTAATTTTTATACGATACAACTTTTTTACACACGATAACTAAATCACATGCTTGTAGTAATCGCAAAGACTAGAGTATGTCCCAATTATTTAACATATCACTTCCACTGAGACTTTTCAAGTCACATAAAAATTCAAGAATTTTATTTACATTAGCTACGAATATAATTGTATGTACATATATCTGTCACAAGTCTTTTTAATTATTTACTCATTTTTATTACATTGTTATAACGAATAAAAATCAAATACTTACATCTTTAATACAAATACATTACAAATATACACATACGTGATATGCTGCCGTAACCAAGTCTTCACTCATCACTACTTCCCCCTTGCCCCGCAAGTGGTTTCCCCCGCTATCTTTACCGAACGTCCTTAACACAGGAAATGCATGACAATGAGGGCAGCACCGCAGAAGCGCGTATAGCAAACAGCCGCTCGATTGGGAAGTATCGTTTTGCACACTTTGGAAAAACTTGAAATTTTAATGGGCATGTGATACTTGACCTTGTTTCAAAGATTTTCGCTTTTGTCTGTATGCTTTTTTTTTGAAAAATGACTGTCGCATACGAATCGATGCACAAGTGAAGTTTGAAGTGATCTATTTTGCAAATCAAGCAAAGATAATTTATTCGGTCACGCGTGCGCGCCTACGAAGTTTCTAACGTTACCACTTTGCAGCGAGTACATATCGAATTAGCAAACAAAAATAATGGTGTCAACTTTAATAAACTCATTTTCTAATGACTGAGTACATAAACTTTGTCTTTCGCCCTAACGGACATCACCATGTATTTATCACTCGTATGTTATTGCCGAATGGTAAAGGTGTTGAACCCGGTTTACGAACCCTACATATATACCGACTAATCCAACAACGCCAACCGGTAATATTAACATGAAACAACGTAGTGTATTTTATTAAACAAAAGTTTCCATTAACGCGAAATTCGAGTGCGCGCATACGAGGGAATTAAAAATAAACTGCTTCTCGCCGTAATGCCCTTTGGCCCTCTGAAAACACAGAGACCTTTGAGCACCGAGCATTCGAGTCGTCGAGAGAAAAGAAAAGAAATATTGACGGTAAACGTCGCCAATGGTCCCCCCGACGACAATACGTACACTCTTGGTCCTCGAACCGAGTGCCAATCTTACCCGAGAGAGCGGCCCTCCACCTCGAGCGAGCCGTGATTTTATCGATGCACGCACTTATACGCGCGCACTCGAGATTCATGCAAAGAAAAGCTCGATGCCGCATTAATAAAGATTCGGGGCACATTGTCGTCAGCCGGACTCTCGAGACGACGTGTGAGAGTATATACGTATATAGCTGGGGTCGTTGGGCCGGGGGGGGGGGGGGGTACTCGCATGTAGGTAAGTGCGGAACAGAAATTAGCCAACAATTAGCGTTGCGAAAACACAGCTCTCGTCGGTACTTACACGGAACAGAGTCCGGTGTATATATGGGAAAGGCTTCGAGTGCCGTTCGCCTCCCTTCCTCCTCCTTCTATTTAGATTTTTTTATCTCGCTCTCGGGCCTTTTTGTCGTCGTCGCGCACCGGCTCGCTCGGCTAGACACTTTTGTAAACGGCTCTCGCTCCTTTCAATTTCTTTTTTTTTTTTTTTTTTTTTTACTCCTCTATCCACTTGGTCCGCCGATCTAATTAAACTGCTACAGGCTTCACCGAAGTCCTCCGAGGAAGGGAGTCATACAATCTTTCTCTTACTAGATGTACTTATGCAATTTCCTAAAACCTCACGCGGTGACATTTTTAGAGAATACTGAAAAAGAGAAGGAGAAACAAAGCTTCGCTTACTTTGTTGACAGGCACATGGTATACTTTGGTTAATTTGAAAAAGTGCCATTTCCACGCACACGCGAGGCAGAGGGGTCACAGAATGAAGAATCAAAAAACTTCCGGGGGTCTGATCCACCTAAAAGGAAAATCTTGTCTCCACGGAGCGTGCGCGTCATTTTTCACCCCACCGGTCGGTGTCTTACGCGCACACCCTGTGTATACTCTATTCGCCCGGGCAAGCTCTTCGAAGATCCAACGTATAGGCACTCGCGTGGATGGTGTGCGTGAAAAGCGTAAGCGAGAGGCGCACTTGCAACGGCAGCCTGTATACTTCGAGTACCTCCGCTTGGGAGGTGGATGGAAAAAAAAGGGTCTCTTGTGAGTACGTGTGTGTATACTTATACATGCTCTCTCGTTCCCTTGGGAGTTGGCCAACGCACACTCTCGAGCGTGTATAGGTACGTGTATACGTGTGGGCATGTTTTCGTACTCTCCTCTCGGTATAATACACTCGCCGATTAATATCCCAATCTAGAGAGAGAGGAGCACAAGGTTGGGGATGGGGGAGAGCTGGTACTCGGCACTCGTTCATTTTTTATTCATGGCTACTAACTGGCCGATTAGCGCGAGAAAGACGAGTGCCGTGTATTTTTTATGAGGTAATGGGAGTGCGTTTGTATGCGTGCGCAAAGAGTATACATATATATTATACCTATATACTACCCTATATATATTGGGTTCGGAGAAGAGGGCAATTTCGAGGGCACACGATGTCAACTTATGTACCCCGTTGGGGTGGATGCGTACACACACGGCTCGCAACGTACATGGCGATGCTGAACAAACTCGGACGAGTGATTAGCCAGCGATTGTCTGATTTCCTTGGTGTAATATTTAGGGAGGGGCCTCTGGAGTATATATTCCATTGTGGATGTACTGCAGAGTTCCCTTTTTTTTGTTGGGACTCTGGTAATGTTGCAACTATATTGATTACATCACCGGGAAAAAACACTACAACTCCAGTACTAGGTATTAATACAATAATGTTCGTTTCACCAAAATCTTATCTTACTTCTAAATGGGACCAAGATTATGGCTTCCGTATCCATGAAACGCGATGTAATTAAAAATCCTCGAAGAAAGGATTCACCGGAGAACCACGAGCCCCTTTGTGAAGTTCTTGGCATGGTGCATTCGAGTCCATACGAGCGAGCACGTAATATATGTATATGCCTCCCCGTCGGCAGTAAACGGTAAAATGGCGATGCGACGGCAGAGATCAGCGACAGTACGACTTTCCGTATAGCAAATCGACTCCTTTCTGTTTACCCTTGGATCTAATTCTTTAGTTCTCTGCTTCGAGCTCCAGCATGTTATACTCATTTTTGGTTATCTCAATTAAAAAGCCAAGCTTTTTCAATAAACAATCGTACAAAGAGGACCCATGAGTCAGATTTTTTATTTTAACGATATCCAACGCACTGTACCCATAATCACTAACATTGCACCAAATGGGTATACTGCATATGAACCGGACAACCGGTGCGCGATGCGAGGAATTTTCGTCGCCTCTGTACAATCCTCACGCTGCTCCCGTAAAAGTAACTCTTGGATAAATCCTTGCGGTCTCTTGCCTCAAAGATTTTTCCACTATTTGACGCACCCAGGTACCGGTACTTACAGTACGAGGCGTTCAAGTAAATGAAAAAAAAAAAAAAATCAAAGTAGAAAAGCCGAGGCAATCCGTGAACACGTTACGTACAATATACGGTCGCAAGACCTGGTATTTCACAGAAAAAGAAAAGAAGCTCGTTGCGTGTGTAAAAGCATCCCAAGCGGCAGATAGATCGTCGTCGGCAGCGCATGAGTCACATTATTACGCTACTTGATTTCGCATCGGGAGCAGGGCACAGCTGCCGCCTGCGCGGATAGAAATCCACCCGGAGAATAAGAGACGGAGAGAACAAAGGGGGCCCTCCTCTGCTAATATTTGAGATTTGGAGCTCCTCCGTGCTCTGCGTACACACACACACACACACACACAGCATGACATGCGCATATTTTTACGCTCGCAATCGAACGCACGTGTACACTAATATTTT